TAGCAAAATTCATAAAAGTTAACATAGAACGTATAGGTTAAGTCATTCCGAACTATAATTATAATTGAGAAGAAAAAACTTTTGGATAAAATTGAACATCCAGAAAAATATGTTCAAGGAATTCGTTATGTTGATATATTAGAAAAAGATAGTGATCATATATTAAGAATTGTTCATTTTGAAAATGATAAATGGGAATCATTAAAAGAATTAATTGTTAATGATAAAACAAATGGAATTATTGTTTATCGTTTAATTGATCATTCTTATTTTCAAGGTGAAACAATAAATATTTGTCGAACAACAAATCAAGTTTCTCAATCAGAATTAGAATATGAAATTAATTGGAAATTAATAAATAAAAATGTTCAGGAATCAATCGAAGATAAACATATTGCAGAATATGCTTTACAATTAGCTACACATGAAATGAAAAAAATTTTAGAAGAAGCTGAAGCTGAACCTGAACCTGAATCTGAACCTGAACCTGCTTCTAATTAAATTTTAAATTTTAAATTTTATTCTAAATTATTTATTTATTTATTTATTTTTCTCATTTTATTTTAAGTCATATAAAAAATGATTTCCACGACAATTAATAATTTCATAATGTTTTTTTTTTCTTTTTTCTACTCAATTTTCTTCTTTTCATAATAAAACTTTCTACTCATTAAAATGTTATTTTTATTCTATTACAAAAAAATTTTTCAAAACAAAAATCAACTTTATTCTATTTTAAAAATAATAAAAAAAAACAAGTCTTTTCTTTTGTTTTCATTAATATTAATAAAAAACAAAAGAAATATTAGTTCCGTTCATATTCTATAAATTTAATCATAAATTAACTTATGCAATTTAAAATATAAATCAAGAAATTACTTCTTACTATCAAATTGAAAATAAAATTAAAAATATCGAAACGACACTTTTATCTATTTCCAACAGAAAAAACGAATATAAAAAGTTTTTTCTTCTCAATTATAATTATAGTTCGGAATGACTTAACCTATACGTTCTATGTTAACTTTTATGAATTTTGCTAACTTTACAGACATACGTAGTCTTATAACACAAAATGTACTCTAACGACAATTGAGTTAATTAAGATAGAGTATATCAAAACAAAAACGTTTTTGCAGTTATATCTTAATAGAGACTTCGAACTTTTTTTTATCGATGAAAAGTTTTATAAAGCTAAACAGTCTAATTGAAAAAGTTCACGTTTTTCGTAATACTTTTGTGCAATAAATGAATATGACATAATCGATGAGTATAAATAATAAAAAAATCTCGACTTTAAAAATTCGTATTTAACATTAGAATTTTATATGCAATAAACTGTTGGAATTTATAATGGTAAGACAAATATAACGAAAATTTGATCAACCATACAGAACAAAATAATCAATTTTGACATCGCATAAGAACCAAATTCACAAGATACAATAAACTTGAATGGCATTTAACATTATTTTAATCTTACCTGGAGTTGTCTTCAATTACATTAAATTAGATAAACAAAATAACATCATACTATCTTAAATCAGTTTTAGCCGGGACGGTATAATAGTTGTTACATTTTTCTTTTTCTAGTCGGTCACTCGACGAAAACATCAAACACTTCGTTGAGAAATTTTTGAAAAAACGCTTCTCATTTAACCATTTTATCATTCCTCTCCTTTTCCATGTATGTTAATAATATAGATATATCGATATTAAGCACATTATCATATGTGATAATAGTTTGATCACTTCACCGGCTATTATTGGACGAACAGAACAACTTGACAAAAACTCTATTGAATCTCTTCACTAACCTAATATATATGGTGGAAGAAAATTTTCTATATGAAACGTAGATAGTAAAAACCTCGAGTCTTAGTTTAGTATAAACTCGCTAATGATGATACTATTTCTTATTCTATATTATCGATTTCGTTATTGTGAAATTTTTAAATGATATTATGTTAAGAGTAGGTATAATTGTTGGTATATATTATATAATAGATTCTTATAATCTATTTTTGTTTCTTCTTAAGAAAATATTTTATTTTAAAAAATCCAACTGGAAAAGTTTTCCAAGCTTATTCATGTTGTAACTTATTTATTTTCATAGATGCAACGACAACACAATAAAGAATATTATTTTTTTAATAAAATTATAGTTTATGTAGTTCACTAAAAGATATGTTCACAAAAATTTTTAATTCGATATTTTATTTATTTTTTGTAATCTTTTTCCACAGATAATTATTTCAGTGATCATCAACAAATAAATCATTAAACTTACCATAGAAAATTCTCCTCGATCACCTCTCCTGATTCATTCTTCATATGTCTTACTCATGAGTAACTATTTTTCTATTTTATTTAAAAACTTATCTAAAATATATTTTTTAAAAAATTACTCGCTACAAATTTAGTTTTCTACAGGCTTATTTTCAAAATAAACTGTGATGACACTACTAACTCACTCAATGTTTGTTTTATTTCTCTTTTTGGTCGATGATGCTTGTTGATTCCTGATTAACTGAATAATATATAAATACTAAGAATTCTATGTATTTCATTTTTTAAAATTCTGTCGTTGATAGTTAAAAACAAATTCAATTATCAACTCGTACTTTCAAAATCTCCTCTTTCCGTTCTTTTATAAATTATTCAGTTAACCTCATTATCAGTTTGCTTGTGTTAGATTCTCACAAAAAAATGACATCCGGATGTTTAACATAAATCAGTCCATTGGCTTCTTAAAAACATTTTGATAAGATAATAAATCTACGTAGACACAAAAATACTTTTCGTATTAATTTCTTACATTTATCTAACTCTGATCAAGTCTTATTCCATAAAAGTTCGATTTTGATGATTCATTAATTGACATAGTCTTCTCTTTTCCGAATTATTCTCTAAACCTTTTTGAGTCGTGCTTTAAGATTCATTATCATTTTAAGATATCAACTCTGTGTGACATATTTTCTTCACTGGTTTCACAACACAAAATCGTGCAGCACCACATTCCTATGCAAAATGTTTTAGAGTGTAGTTAGAGTTTCCATTATTTGAGTATTCAGTGCTTCATAATTAATTAGATAGAAAAAAACTGAACATACCAACAATGTCGTATCGAATTGTATGATTCTTTCCTGAAAGTTCATAACCACTCCATCTGTGATAAAGGCGTAAGCTTGGACAAATAATGACGATGTAGAAATTGACAAAACTAGCAGAATAATTCCTACTAAACTACTTTCACTAAATATAAGAAAATAAATCTATTAGTTTATCTTCGTATGTTTCTCAGGTATCTTTATCCTCATTTAAGATCTAACAGTATTCCACTTATTATTACTTGATTGAACGTTTTGTTGTCTTTGAATTAAAAACGTTAAATATAAATTGAAAATGAGTTGATAATTGTTTTAAATAAATTTCATTTAAGTGATCACTGCTGTCGGTTTTTTCTGTCTGACTATTAGTTGATATACTCTATTACGCAGAAAAGAAAACTTATAAATTTTACTTTTTATTGTTTACTCTGTGTAGGAACAATATTTCAATCTACTCAGACATTCCATTAAAACTTTCATTATGTAAAATTTTCTTTTCAAAATTCTATTTCTATTAGTTTCAATTCATCCGTGAGATATCGAAGTACATGGAGTTTATATTCGAGATCTTTCTAACTTGGACATAACTAGTAAAAATAGACTTGAAATATAGTGAATCGTACTTCACTATATTCGATTTATTGAAATCGAAACTAGAAGACATTGGATTGCGTGATAGTACGACAAGATTTAAAATATAATGTAGTTTTATCAAAAATTGACAACAAAAATATATGATAAAGTATTGTCAAAGCTAAATTAAGAATATTCCTAGAAAGAAAAACAATTGTCATCCGTTTTTGTCACATGATGTTAATAGCAGAGAAGGTATTGTAATATTATGAAAAATTTATACTAGATATTTAATTATATAATATTATCATCTAATAATAATCAATTGATTAATATATTGACAGTCAATCTGCATTAATATATCAGGAAAATGAACTTGATGATATTTACCGTACGTATCAACCTAGATTTTTCATATAAATGTTTTGTGTTTCGGAATAGAAGGAATTATTTAGCTTTGACAATACTTTATCATATATTTTTGTTGTCGATTTTTGATAAAACTACATTATATTTTAAATCTTGTCGTACTTCACTATATTCGATTTATTGAAATCGAAACTAGAAGACATTGGATTGCGTGATAGTACGACAAGATTTAAAATATAATG